AGATCTGGATCCGGGCTCCAAGCCTCTAGAAGAATAACTTTCCAACCCCATGGCCATTTGACCTGTGGGACTAGCTGAGACCATATACGATCCCACCACCTCCAAAGCCAGATTGAGCCCGGACACTGCATAAAAATATGCTCTAAGGTTTCAGGAGAAATTCTACTGGGGAAACTGTGGTTTAAAAATCCTCACAACCTGGCCCAGCCGCAGCTGGGCTCAATTTGAGTGTACAAACCCGGGCCCGCCCGAGCCCAGACCTTGAAGAAGAATTGCAGCCGGACCTACCCGGACCCAGACATATTTTTGACCACCTGCCCCCACCCATAGCTGGCATTTTTTTCACCATCCTCACCCGTCCATACCTGGAAATACCTGCCCGTACCCGCCATTGCTTTCCACGTTTTCAACACCCTACCCTCCCATACTCTGCGACCATTACCACCTATGCAATTGGTGGCCCCAACAATATAGAACTGTTGATCAACCATTGGAACTCAAGAACTAGGTACTTGAATGACAAGTCTCGAGACAACTGCGCATGCCACATATGAGTGGGAGAAAAAAAGTCATGAGACAAAATTCAAAGCATATCGAGGTCATACCTTCCGCAAACCGGGGGGTGCTTAAAAAAATAAATTAAAAAAGATGTGAAAAATACGGTCGCCGGTCGGGTACCCCAATCGACATATATGCATGGGTGTAGACCCCCACATGCATACATGCATATATTTTTGGCGGGTGACCCGTGCCAAGTCTAGACCCGCATGCAACTGGCCATTCTTTTTTTTTTGCAAATGGCCACCCAAAACTGGCCCCTTTTTTCTCACCACAATTGCCCCCAACCTGGCCCATGGCCATCCTCCCATCACCTGGCCACACCTGGCCAGGTGGGACATGGGCTAGCCAGACCTGCCTGCAGCTGTCGGGTCCGGCCAGGGGCAGCTGGGCGCGGCTACGACCAGCCATTTGCAGGCTCTGCCTGTGAATGAGCATCCGAGCCATGCATGAGCGTGCATGCCTGATGTCATGGGTGAAATTTGAGGCGGCCTGCTTTGTACTGTACGGAGCTGATATTATGCTGTCCTCTTTTCTGCAAGACCAGGACATCTTGGATCTTGTCGAAACCCTTTTGTGGACCTGTGAATGAGCATCCGAGCCATGCATGAGCGTGCATGCCTGATGTCATGGATGAAATTTGAGGCGGCCTGCTTCGTACTGTACGGAGCTGATATTTTGCTCTCCTCTTTCTGCGTGACCGGGACATCTTGGATCTCGTCGAAACCCTTTTGTGGACCTGTGAATGAGCATCCGGTCCACATCCCTCTTAAACGACCACTCCCCTTAAACCACCAGTACCTCTGAGCCTTTTTCTCCCTTCCCGATGCGGCTTTTGCGCAACACGCTAAAAGGAAATGAATTGCCAGCGGCACACTTTTTTTCCTTTTCTGGCTGGTGTTGCAAGCCATTTTGGTCTGGTAGCACTGTTCATGCGAAGAAACCGGATTGTTTCCTCGGCGAGGTAGTGTTGGTTTAAGCCACCAGCACCCATCTCCCTCCAAGGAATCATCTTTGCCGCGCGGAGAGAAGATAGCGGGTGGGGCAGGTGGAGGCCGAGCGGAGGTGGGCGGAGGTAGAGGACGGTAGGAGTTGGACAGGGGGTGGGCCGCCAGCCGAGGGGAGGTGGGCAGAGGAGAAGTGGGCGAGGCGGAGAGGAGATGGCTGGAGGAGGCGGAGAGGAGAGCGGGCAAAGGCCGACCGGTGGGTGGAGGCATAGGGCGGAGGTTGAGGGGAGGTGGACAGAGGTACCGGGCGGGGGCCTCCCAGACGTGGGTGGAGGTAGCGGTCGGAGGAGGTGGGCAGAGGCGGATAGGAGGTCAGCGGAGGCCGAGGGGAGGTTGGCGCGCACAGCGGGATGTGCAGTGGGATGTTCGGAGGAGGCGGACGCGATGTGGGCGGAGGGCAAGGGGAGATGGGAGATCCCAATGGTGGAAGGGAGGGTTTGCGCGCACAGCGGGATGTGCAGCGGGATGGTGGGAGGAGGTGGACGCGAGGTGGGGAGGTGGGTAGAGGCGGACAGGAGGTCAGCGCAAGCCGAGGGGAGGTTGGCGCACACAGCGGGATGTGCAGCGGGATGTTGGGAGGAGGTGGACGCAAGGTGGGCGGAGGGCAAAGGGAGATGGGAGATCCCAATGGCGGAAGGGAGCGTTGGCGCACACAACGGGATGTGCAGCGGGATGGCGGGAGGAGGCGGATGCGAGGTGGGGGAAGGCAAGGGGAGATGGGAGATCCCAATGGCGGAAGGGAGGTGGGCGGAGGCTGACAGGAGGTCGTCAGAGGGGTTCAGGAGGTCGTCGGAGGCCACGGGGAGGTGGGCTCGCACTGTTAAAAAAGAAAAAAAAAAAGAAAAAAGGGGTGGTCAATGGTCCAGCGGGATGGCGGATGCGTGGGCAGAGGAACGGAGCCCAGAGCGGAGGTGAGCGGAGGCGGAGGAGAAGTGGCGGAGGCGGAGCGGAAAGAGAGAGAGGACATGGCCAGAGGATGCGGATGGGAGGTGGGCGGAGGCGGAGGGGAGATTGGCGATCCCAATGGCGGGAGGGAGGKGGGCAGAGGCGGACAGAAGGTCGGCGCTGGCCGAGGGGAGGTGGGCACGCACCATTTTTTTTTGTTTTTGTTTTAAAAGGCGGGCAGAGGGATGGCGGATGTGCGGGCAGCGGAACGGAGGCGGAGAGGAGATGGCGGGAGGAGGCGGACGGGAGGTGGCGGAGGTGGAGAGGAGATGGCGGGAGGAGGCGGGCGGGAGGAGGTGGACGGGAGGTGGCAGAGGCGGAGAGGAGATGGTGGGAGGAGATAACCGGAGGAGGCGGACGGGACGTGGCGGCGGCGGAGGAGAGGAGATGGAGGGGGGAGGCCGACGGAGGTGGGCGGAGACGGAGGGGAGGTGGTCCGAGGTGGGCGAAGGTGGGCGGAGGCCAAGCGGAGGTGGGCGGGGGCCGAGCGGAGGTGGGTGGAGGCTGAACGGAGGTGGGCGGAGGCCGAGGCCAGAGGCGATGGCGCAGGCCGCGATCGTTCTCTCTCTCTCTCACACACACACACACACGCACACACACACTCAACCACCCACACATAAAGGGGATAAGCGACGGAGGTGGGCGGAGACGGAGGGGAGGTGGTCCGTGGTGGGCGAGAGCGTTGTCGATACCGAGGGCGTCGTCGTGTGAGCGCGTAGCGTTAGGTCGTAGGTCCGTTTGTCGATAGCGTAGGGTTAGGTTAAAGGTCCGTTTGTTGATAGCGCAGGGTTAGGTCGTAGGTCCGTTTCTCGATAGAGAGGCCTTCGACGAACAGGGCCGAAAGAATCGTTGCCACGGTAGGGTTTTCCCGCCCTCGACTCGCTTGCAACGGGCGGCGACGGCTCGGGCCTACTGGCTGGTCCTTCACATCGCGCGTCAATCCGGGCCATTCGGTAGGCCCAACGGTCCGGATGTTCGCGCGATCTTAAAGTCTTAAGATCGCACGTGGATCCAGGCCGTTCGGCAGGCCCGACAATACAGATGTTCGCGTGGTCTTAAAGTCTTAAAACTTTAAGACCACGCGAACATCCGGACCGTCGGGCCGAACGGCCCGGATAGCAGATTTCTGCGCTTTCGATTTCAATAGTGTAGGGATGACGCAAACGCTTGGTTCTACGTCTTGTGGCTGCTTCAAAGTTTGTCCAATGGCTAGGAGAAGTGACCCAGGTAGGTTCGGGAGGGCACTCGCCAGGGTGCTGATCGCTTAAAGGAGCAGTACCTCTGTTTCGACTGCGCATTTGCACTGCGTGCCAAAGAAAAATGAACGGCCAGCGGCACACTTCTTTTATTTTTTGGCTGGCACCACTGTACATCTAAAAAATTTGGATTGTCCCAATTTCTATTCGCAAGTTACGTGGGCGAACCAGGTGCGTGCCCTCTCTCTCTCCCAATCTCAACTCACCCTCGTCTTCCTCTACATCCTTGTCCTCAATCCGAAGATCACCACTAAGCCCCTCTGACCTCTTGATACCAAGCCCGGCTATGGCTGGTATCTGGTGGCCTCCAGCAGCGCCCTCCTTCTCCACCTGCACCCGCGTGCGCCTGGGTTCTTTCCTCCAGCAGCCGCTGAGCGCTCATACCAGCAGCGCTGTTGCACGGCATGCGAGTGCCCAAATGTCCTCCCAGCAGGCCGGGACTTCCCTTTATGGAAAGTGGTTGTGCTCGCTGGCTGCCTGGCCTGGAGTGTGTGTGTGCCCAGTAGCTTCAGGTTTGGGCGAAGTGTCTGCGCGCCCAGGCCCAATTTCAGGTAGCGGCCTGGGACTGAAACAGTTAGGCGCACCCAACTGTATGACGTGGGCTGTGTCACTCGCTGCATCCTGATAGGCCAGAAGGCTTTCTACCACGTCTTGCCTGGAAGAGCCTAGAAGGCTCACAATCCCACGATTGCATAACGTGCAGGGGCCTTCAACCAACTGGCGCCCCGTAACTGTCTGGTGCCCCCCACTGGCCCTGAAAATGTCCACTTTAGGCCTCTTGGAGAAATGCAGGCCCGCAATCACTTAGGGCGGGCGGGTTGCTTGCAGCAGGGCCCCTGAAGAGCCTGCTGAGGATGAAAATCCTCGCAGTATCGTTTGCCATCCAGAAATGGCTTTTTTTTTTTTTTTCCTGTTATTTTTGCCGAGAAGATCAGTAATAGGTCTATTGCTTTGATGTGTTTTCAGAGTCGTTGGTCAGCTATTGTGAGCTGAAAAAAAAAAGCCAAAGCCGAACCGCTGAAAATTTTGTGCACTGCCTCTGTTGCTCCCCTCCAGCGAGTGCATCACCGCGACCTTTGGATCGCGGCGAAGGGAGTTGTGGTTCAATACAGAAGGGTAATCATAGGTACGCCTCAATGTGTGACAAAAGAAGGTGTGCGCTAACCGTCTTGCTTGATCGCTGAAGTTTGTGTGGAATAATGGACTGTTTTTTGTCTGTGCTCGTGTGCATCAGGTCCTTAGGGTCTTTCATGAAACACCATCCATGGGTCCTGCATCTCTTAGGAGGGAAGCCCGAGATCTGGAGAAGAGGAAGACAAGAGGTGAGAAGGGAGGGAAAGAATCGGCCACTGGGTCGGGCATGGACGTCATCCGTGAGCAAAGGCGGAGGATATTGAGTGCATTGTCAAGATTGCCCAGAGAGGAGCGGCAAGAGCTGTATGCAGAATGGGGTATCAGTCGTTGGTCGTTCTTCAAGCTGCAGAAGTTGGTCTACGAGTTGCTCTGGATGGATCCTCGTCGGTGAGTGCCACTGGGTCATGGCTGTTGAGAAACAAGAGTCCGAACTTCTCCGAAGCCACTTATAGATTGTAGATTAACAAATCAGGTCTTCAAATTTACTGTAAATGTATTGAGAATAAACAAACAGAGAATATATAAAACCAACCGCTCTCCTTGAAATCTGGTTTCTATCCTAGAAGCTGATCATGAATTTCGCCGACCTTGAGGGCGTACTCACACGAGCACTTTTCTTAATGTATATGACCGCAATTACGGCAGAACCTGGATGCATCTGACTGCAGTCATGCCCAGTGTGGGTGCGCCCTGAGTCGGTCATTTCTTTCCCTGCTGCCACGCTTTAGATGCCATCTTCCGACTGATTGGATTCGTCCTCTGTCAGCTCTTTAGCTGGTTGAACTGTGAATCGTTTTTCCGTTGCCTGCCATCTGTGAAGGTCCTTGTAGAATGATATGTCTTTGTACGGAACTTCGGGGCAACAGAATGAAGGGGTGGGATGCTCTGATGAATCTACTATGTGGCTATTCTGATAGTGAGATAAATATTAATATGCTAGTACCTTCCCCCCAACATAACGGACCCTGATAAGGAATGCATACAAACGATCTTTCTGGCCTGATGCAGTCAAAATGAGGGTGTGCTGCGTTCGGGGAAAGACTGCAGTCACTATCCACTATGGGTTTATGAAGCAGGTTGAGCTTTTGTGTGCAGAAGTCTTGTGCAAATGACAGTGTGGTATGTTGCAACCTGACTCTTGTGTTTTTGTCTATCTGATTGTGTGATTCTGTGGAAGAGGAGCGGGTGGATGGTAATGACTCTTGTCCCAGGAAATTGAAGAATCTAATTCATCTTTTTTTTTTCCCGCCTATCACCCCCTCTAGCACACTGAAACGGGGTTTGCAAAAAAAAATAATAAAAAAAAATCATCTAGTTTTGTCTGGAATCGAAATTTGAACACAGGTCTGTATTTTAACAAATTCATGGGTGTACCAACTGAGCTAGGCCAGTCGGTAGTGCCTGTGTGTTGTAACTTACCTCTTGTCATGTTTTCTCTCTGGCATGCCCTCTCTGAGCGGCTCAATGGTGAGGACTTGTGTCGATTCGCCTGGTTGTCCACTGAACCGTCTTAAATCGTCCTTGTGTCGATTCGGCTGGTTGTCCACTCAACCGTCTTAAATCATCCTTGAGATTGCGTGCTTTGTTAACTCTCCAGTGACTCTTCTGTGATCAGTTGATAGCATCATTTACACTTGTCAATTGATGATGTACAAGGAACTAAGTGGTGGTGATGTACGCGCTCTTCTCTCTCTCTCTCTCTCTCTCTCTCTCTCTCTCTCTCTCTCTCTCTCTCTCTCTCTCTCTCTCTCTCGCTCTCGCTCTCTCTCTCTCTCTCTCTCTCTCTTGCTCTCTCGCTCTCTCTCTTGCTCTCTCGCTCTCTCTCTCGAACTCTCTCGGGTCGGTGGTTTGCAGGTACGATGAGAGTGCAGAATTGGTCCTGCGACTAGATCATCAGCTGACGGCTACCACTGTGTAAAGGCGAATTGCGTCCCTGAAGGGAGATATTGGTCTGGAGGGCAGCAGACTGGGTATGTTCCGATGGGGTCATTAGGTGTTGTGGCGGGTCCGTGACATTCTTCTATTAGCAAGACGAGAAATATCCCGGTGCAATGCAAGCAGGTTGGTTAGGAAAGTTGGTTGGTGTTTGATACTTGGATATGTACAATTTCAACCCAATAAATCGCATTGATTGATTTTGATTACGCTGCTGGTGGATGAGGAGATTAATGTCCCTGAAAAAAACAAAAGACAGGCTGGTATTGGCGTGCTGCCTGCGTGTAAAGTAGAATGAGCGAACGATTTGCAGGCCTTGTGTGAGCTTATCCTAAAAGGATAAACAACAAGGAAGGTTCCCTCTCCTCCCAGGCAGAAGGCTTGAGAAGGAACCACGTGAGTCGGCACCATAGGTTACTGTAGGATTGCCGGATTTTAAGGCAAAAGTATTCTCTACAAAGCAGCCGACTAGTGCCTCAAGTGGATGCATGGATTCGCTTCAGAGATTTGAGAGAGTAAAAGGATGCAGGTGTCATCAGTGCCCTTGCACAAACACACATACTTAGTGAGTGAGGCACACCGGCGGAGGGGGGGGACGAATGTGAGAGAGAGAGAGAGAGAGAGAGAGAGAGAGAGAGAGAGAGAGAGAGAGAGAGAGA